GGTGGTGAGGATGATGATGAAATGCTTACTACTCAAGATTGGACGAATGTTAAAATTCTTATAGATTTTTTAGAACATTTTCAAATTGCTACAAATGCATTTTCTGGGCAATATTATCCGACTATTTAAAACTGTTTAGTTTATATTGCAGCACTATGTGGTTTGTTTGTTGAATTTTCGGAGAGTGGGGAAATTTATCAACTTGCTATAAATGCAATGAAAGAAAAGTTTAAAAAATATTTTTTCCATATCCCTCCTATTTATGGTGTTGCTGCAATGTTAAATCCTACAATAAAATTAGGAGGTCCTCATTTTTGGTACTCAAATATTTATAAGGTTTTAGATCTTTCAAATGAGGAATTTGCTACACTTGCAGATGCAAAACCCTCAATTAAAATTAATGCTCAAACAATTTATAATGATTATCAACTTGCCTTAGAGCATACTAGGCCAAATGTTCCAATCCCTACTTCGTCTAGTTCACAATCGTCTAAAAGAGTTGCGGGCTTAAAAACACTTAAATCTTGGACGGATTTATAAAATTTGTTAGAGATACAATGTAGATTATGGTGTACCTTGTACTTTTTGGCATATCTTTTTTTAGTTTTTTCCCCTTTTAATGGTGGTATTAGTACCTTGTTGTGCTCATTCCATTGGGGGAAGGAAGGCTAAGAAAGATATACCATTTTTGGTAATAAAAATTATAAGACATGCCCTTGAATATCTTTTTGCAATATTTTTCTGTCTTTAACTTGCAATTATTTATAAGCTATAATATATATACATAACATACAATATATACTACAAGAAAATATATAAGGTAATATATATACATAACATACAATATATACTACAAGAATATATATATATTTATACGACAAAACATTATAAGAAATTATATTTAGAAATATATATACATAACATACTATATATAGTATACTATATATACTACAAAACAAGATTTTTCAAAATTCAAAATGAGGGCCCCACCCCCAATGACCACCAACGGCCATATTGCACAAATAGCCGTTTTTTTTTCAATTTACAAAACTAACCTTCTCTAACACTATAAATACCTCCTCCCTCTTCTTCATTTCAATACTCAATACTCATTTCTCAATCTAAATTTCTCTCAATCTCTCAATCTCCAATTTTCAAGACTTCAAGTCTCAATCTTAATTTTCAAGTTACATCATGCCTCGTTCGGAAAGAGTGCGCTTATTTGTTTCGCACTACTATGAAGTGCTTGAAGAAAATGAAGAAGGCCAAATATTAAAATGCAAGAACTGTGGAAGAGTCTTAAATTTTCGTTCAGGGTGTACCACAGGCATTTTAAGGAGGCATATAACATATTGTGTTGATGGTATTTATCCGCAAATTCGTCTTTAAGATATTTCAATAATTTGTGTTATTTTAAAATTATTAGACGTATTTATGCTTCATGTTGTACTTTCTTATTAATTTATTATGCATGGCAATTTAGTTTTACTATTGTTTTGTTATTTTACTTTTTCGTCAAGCACTTTAATAATTAAATTTCAACATATATATTATTTATATAGCCATGATATGGTTTACATGAAATTGCCTTAAACAAAAAAAAAATTAAAAAAAAAAGCCCGAAAATACAAAAGCCTGTTAGGCCCGCTAAGCCCACGGGCCCGGCCCGTTTAGCCCAGGACCATATGGGCTTAGGCCCATCACGGGCCGGTTCCACCACTTGAGCCCACGAGGCCCGGGACCGCTAGAGCCCAGGCTCGTTAGGCCCGGCCCGTTTGGCCCATTTAGGCCCGGGCCAGAATACAGCATTAGGCACAATATTATGAAAAATGGAAAAAACGGTGTGAACACTACATAAACCACTAGCAGTCTAAGACAAATACTATCCGACTAGCCTCAACCCCCGTAACAAAGTAGAAAAATGCTCAACTACGTCCTTACCTTTCAACCCTAATGCTCGACCTCTACACCTTCATATCAACTTCAAGAGCAACAAC